CGAACTTGGTAGGAGGCGGTATGGGAACACTTATGGTGAGTAGTAGGGCCGGACTACGCCCCCAAGGAACAGGATTGCACGAAATAAATGAGTAGGAGTCCATAACTCCTGATCCCGTGGACTTGGAGAGCAATCAATAGGAGCGGGTCGGATGGGAACACTGGCAATAGAAGAGGCCTTAGAAAAGAAGATCCACACACCAATTACCTACTAGCGCCTTTGTTATTTACGATCTAGCTTTGACTTTTTGATATGTTTCATCCGACAAGAAGGTTAAGTTGTGTGATTATAAGGAGATGAATTTGGTTCACTTCTTGCTATTAGATTACGACCGCTACCCAGCAGAGTTTGCGATTAAGTAAACGTTCACGGTTTCTCTTTGCTCTGATATCATTCTTAGCAAAATTTATCCGACCGGTAATAATGTTGGATTCACATTTAATGATGTATCTGTAGAGGAAAGGAGGTACATCTTTGAAGGTATTTGATAGTCTATACTCTCGCTCAGCGAAACAACGAAATAACATATTAAAAAGGGTGAATTTCAGTAATTCGATATTCTTCGGGCAAAGTCCCTTTGTCCCAAAAAGAAGGAGAGCCCTTGATGATGACTTTGAGGAACATTGATGGTAGCTAACATAGTAGCCTCAGCCGCGATGAAGTCTCTGAATACTTTTTTCTCTGAATCGCCTTCGTGATATTAAACGATGTTCTTTCGGACACAGCGAGGTTGGCTTACAGAAAAAATCGCTCCCACGTCGGAGCTAATACCGAGGGTGTAGAGCTTCCAAAGCAAAAGGAGAATCCGAAGTGTAACTTACGCATAGCAAATTTCTCACAGGAGGAAGGAGCGCCCGGCTACGCCGGGCGAATCCATAAGAAGGAGGGAAGCCCGGCGTTAGCCGGGCGGCCCGACTGGTATAATACTTGAAGTGCGTCTGTTGGTTTGTCGGTGTGTTTGTTAGTTTGTGTGTGTGTCGGTGTATGTGTTTGACCGGAAATTCATAACTCCTGCTCCCGTAGACCTAGAACGTTCAATTTTGGCAGGAGTACAGGCACAGGATGGGAGCACTCATGGCAGGTGACAGGACCAGACTCCGCCTACAGCAGGCAAAGCGTGCGCGGTAGAAACTTTTGACCGTAAAATCATAACTCCTGTACGACAAGACCTAGAGCGTTGGAACTTAGTAGCGGTGCAGGAGGAAGGATGGGAACACAACATATGTTTGGTAGCAAGACCGGACGTCGCCTACAGGAGGCGAGGCGTGCGCGATAAAACTTCGGACCGCAGATTCATAACCCCTGCTTACGTAAAGTTAGGGCGTGTAAATTTGGTACGAGTATAGGTGGTAGGATGGTAACACTCATGGCAGGTAACAGGATACGACTCCGCCCACAAAGGTGGGGTTTGGAAATAAATCGTTGAGCGCAAATTCATAATTCCTGTTCTCGTGGACTCCAAGAGTTCGAAGTTTGTAGGATTACACCTTTTTGTATTAACAGTTGAAAGTCGGCATTTTGCTAAGTGATGTAGGATATGACGGGATCCTAGGCAATCGGTGACAGGAAACGATGACAACTGATAAGAGAAGATAAGGGGCCTGAGAGAGCAAGAGCGAACACCGATCCTAATACCCTCGGTATTTGCGATGCAGCTTTGACTCTTCAGTATGTTTCGTTCCATAAGTCAGGATGGTAGAGTAGACAAACGTGAGTGGAAAGTGCAGTGATAGGGACCCATTAGCGGTACTACGATAAGCAGACGAGTCTACCGCGCGACACCAAATAGGAGATGCGTGACTTTCTTAACCTGAATGAACGAGAATATTCACCGCTAGACAAACAGAGCGGTGCCCATTCTCCTATCGAGTTCACCGCCGACAGGTCCATTCCTCAATCTACCTAATATTTCTACTTCGATCCGGTGTATTTTAAAGTGTTCCCTTCTTTCATGATCTCTGGCAGACTGCGTTAAACTAAATATTATAAACTTCAGACCTGAAAAGGTATTTAATGCCGAAAGTCACCTATAAAAATTAAAAGTCCCGAGCCTCGGAAAACACATACGTTGAACGACCACAAAATGGAGATGAAGCTCAGGGGAAGCAAAATTTCAAAGTATCCACTTATATCTACTTATAACCAACTAGGCCACACCACTCAAGAATCAGCGCCACACTGAATCAGTCTGCAACGATTGCGCACACGATCGAACATAAGAAAAATCATCCATTGCAGTCTTACGGGTATATACAGGGTGCGCCATAAATATGGTAACAAAGGAACTGAGCTACAGAAACCGTAGTTCTTATTGATGCATGGTGAATTCATGTGAGTTGTACTTTGCATCACAACTAGAAAACGAACACACAGTGATCTTATATAACCGTCTTCTGTACTAAATATAGTTAGAAGACGCTTCGGCTACTCATTGACGGTGGCACGCACAGTTTCTTGAGAAACTCCAGCCCCGGCTTCTATCGATGATTTCCCAGGAGCAGCAAGAGTGATGCGTTTGGAAACGCAGGCTTTTCTCCCCAATATGGACTATATCCAGCGGTCCATAACATTGTGGTCGGGAAATTTGTAGGAGGATCGGAAGCTGGGATAAAATCGCGAACTTCCTTCAGCACCACTTTTGATCCTTTCCCTTTCGTGAGCAAGTGCGCCGTAGTTTTCAAACCGTACTTATAGAAAAATCTTTGACCCTCAGCTGCATCCTTTCAGAAAAACCTTTGTTAAAGAGGTTTGGATTGAATTTCGTGCTTTTCTTGTCTAAAACTTGCGATATCGCTTTGATGGTAGAGATTTTAGTTCGAACCATCATGAAAGACAGAAAACGGCTACGAGAGGCGATCTCGCTCTTCTCGACGGCTTCAGCATTCGGTTTGAAAAGTGTTTGAAAAGGTTTGAAAAAGAGTAAATTACTGATCAGCTGATCCCACTAAACTACTTCAAGCTTGTGCACCAATGATAAGCGCCAGAGTCGGTTAAATCGCCTCGAATATCCCGCGCAGTTAGCGGCCTCACTTGGGCGAATCTTCCGCCCCCTAGTCTCACCACCGAAATGAAGTTTTGACATTCAGGAGAAGAATTATTATCATTTCGGGTTCCGAAGTTTCGCTTTTGATCTGATGGCAAGCGATCGACTTGGTATGAGGAGGGAACTTGACCATCAATGTCATGAATTGTAAGTTCTTTGAAAAATCTTGAACATAAGTAGTCATGAATTTATCTCTATTAGATGCCATAATACTACGTTCAAAGGAGAATTCTCCACATCTGTTGTTATCATTCATCACAACGAAGCTTTGTCGGTGCTTCTGCGAATGCTCACAGGTGCAGAGTTCTCGAAGTTTCGAAATGATCATTTCAGTCGGTTCACAAATCATGTTGACCATTTTTTGCTCGAATAGAAAAGTAATTTCAAGGGATTTTCGAACGAACGCCTGCTCATCTACTACATGAGGTTATTCTTTACGAGGATGCCAGTGAAGAAGATCACAAACTCTCCGATCACCTCAAAGAGTTCGCCCTCCAAGGTGGTTGGAAAGATAAAATCAGAGTAGAAAGAAGCGAAGAGCGGCAAGGTCTTATTAGAGCTAAGGTGAGACCGCTTTGGCTTTTCTTAGAGTTCTAGTAGTGATTTACAATTTATTGTCTTTAGGCTCTTGCATCTCGTTTTGCCACAGGTGAAGTGCTCATCTTTTTGGATAGCCATTGTGAAGTAACAGAGCGTTGGTTGGAACCGTTGTTAGCTCCTATAGCGGAAAACCCAAAAAGGTATGCCCCTTGCGATCGACGTCATCGGGAATGAGGTCACAAAAGACGCAATCTAGCAGCCTCCACCGATTATTGGGAGTGAGAACTTTTCTGACCCACTAGTTCATTTTATGATTGAACTGTGCTCGTAAACTCCCCACTCCTTCAGCATGGACGAAAGCGGTTAACTCGGGATTCCAACACAAGCTTTTGCATCCGACACAGAGTTCGTAAAACTGCAGGCTTTGTCCAGAACAGTGTTACGACGTTATACTCTACCGTTCGTTGAGGTGGAGAACTGCAACCGAACAAACCAACCGAAAATAACAGTTTTGTTCGAATCATGCCTGGCAAGGTGTTGAGTTGGAGATCAGCAGTCGATTCAATCCTCGGCAATCAACTTCTCGCTTCGCTCTTGAAGTTGTCATACCAACATTCTCAATAATCCTTCCAAAAGGCAAAAGGCATTTGGATCTGAAGGCATTTATTCACAGTGAAACGCTACTCAGGTATTATGGAGCGTTCGGAAAGTAACGATGCAGTACCATGTTGTGGTTAGCTAAGTAACTACTGGTATGACTATCATACTACATATAGGCATTTCCAATTTTTCTCGGTTCCGGCTTGACTAGAGATTATCATCTTGGCGTATTGATCATGGTGACGACTAAACGAGACTGGATCAGCAGGAAGTGACTGCATAACCGCCAAAAGGACTATGGAACTTTCAAGGCTACCTTCAGGGAACCCGTCATCTTCAGGAAGCTATCATTGCATTCAAATTAGCTGCTATTCGTGCAAGTATGGTTTATCATGGCAATATACACACCACACGGGCAGGCTTGAAGACGTGTTGAAACCTCCGTTAGGATCGTTCTACACATCGTCCTAAGACTTTCCAAGAAGTTGCAGCTGTGTCTTTATGTTCGAGAAATCGCTTCGAGCGTATCTTATAACTGTCTTTACTACCTTGACTTTGAAGCGGTAATTTATAAACTTCGCAGATCCCTATTGAACACACGGTAGAATTGACCATAGCAGGCAGCTAAGAGCATGTGAGAGAAGGTTGATTATGCTGCGGACAAAGGAAACTGTTACATCATCAACTTATAAGAGTAAAGAGTACGTTGTTTCGCAATCGAAGCCATTCTACGACATCTAGTGTAACACTCATTTCGCTTGATGTTTCGACGAATTCGCCGTCCTCGGTGGCCCGGAAGCCTTCAGAAAATTTTTTGGAGGGTACCAATAATGCTCATCGAGGAGCAACTTTTATCTGGTTGCAGCTCGGTCCGATTAACTTCATACATAATCGAAATTCCAGTAATGGGCTTCTCATATCAATTCCATCAACATTGAGTGCTCTCGCTCAACTTGGTGGATAGTGGAGCAGAGTCAAAGTTACAGCCAGCATAAATTTTTCATCTGTGCTTGCCAAGCGGTGAGATTAAGTTCGTTGACACCTCCGTTTACTCGTTGAAAGTTCCTTTACACGACACGAAGGCATATCTGCCTCCCAGCTTTTCCAGTGTAGCAAGCATGAAATTCAATTACTAAAGCTGATAAGCCACAACACTAAGAGCACATTTTCAACTTCTCCATACGCAGCTCTCCATAACGAACGTAACAGAGGCGATTTCCGAAAACTCGGTGTTTAGTGCTGTCCATTGGTGTGTTGGTCAATAAGGCTCCACTGTTCCGACTCGCCCTTCCCAGACAGACTCTTCTCTTGTTGTACCGCTCTGAATTATCTGACATGAACGGTAGGTAAGGGTGGAGCTTACCTTCAGCGCTGCAAGGGAAAAATCCCCCTGCATGGTTTGTTAACGTTGATGCAATCAATAATGGGTATTTCCACTGTGTGAGCTCTGATAGTGAGAAACGATGCAAGTGGCGTTACGACGTGACAGATGTGTAACGATTCAGTCCCGTTCGCTCCACTAACTCCAGAGCGACAAGCGCTCAGCGATACCTCTTGATGTATCAACTGTTGTCCTCCTTGTTGCTGTAGGTTAAGAGTCGAGGCAAAAAACTGAGCGCGAATCAAAGCCAAAGTCAGAAAATTGGGCGCACCTCAGAAGAGAAACGACAACTATTCTCCCAAAAATTGTTGTTGTGGTACCCTTCACTTTTGAAAGCTACAGCACTATGGTTCAGCGTAGTGTTGCCTATCGTTGACCTCATTCATCCGGTGACATTCGAGTACTCAAAAGCGATGATCTCCAAAAGTGGTTTCGATTGGTCACTAACCTTCAAGTGGGTTTACATGCCGTGGGAGTATTTCGACGTCGAAGAGAACAACGTGAAACCGATTGAGTGAGTCTGCTCATCTACTTGATTGAAGTTTGCCAACGTCAACTCGTCCACGTTAAGATCGCCATCAATGTCTGGAGGACTCCTAGCTATTCGTCGCGAATTTTTCCGTTGGTTGGGAGAATATGACATGGGAATGGAAGTATGGGGCGGTGAGAATGTCGATCTCGCTTTGAGGGTAATCTATCCTGTTTTAGTAAGTGTAGCAGGGCGCATAATTTATTATTCAGACATGGATGTGCGGTGGCCGAGTGGTAGTCGCACCATGCAGCCATATAGGACATGTTTTCCGAATGATGCGCCCCTACAAAGGCAAAGACAACAAAGATACGAACCTCTACAACTCCCTTCGCGTTGCGAAGACATGGTTGGGAAGATATGAGGTGAGTGGAAACATTGAAATATATGGATGTTTATCTACCCAAATACATTTTGTCAAGAAATACTTCATGCGTGCTCTTCCGTCGGCAGCAAAAATGGATTATGGAGACATAAGTCCTGGTCTGGAGCTGAAGAAACGACTAAACTGTAAAGACATGGATTGGTATTTGGACAATGTGTATCCAGAATTGCGGCCTCCAGAGGAACGGAAGGAACGAGAAGATTTATAGGGCGTCTTCTTACTGTTATTTGAAACTACCTCTTCTAAATACAATAGCTGAAATTATGTTTAGACTTCAATCAGTGGCAGTGTCTTGCCGTATTTGTTGGGAACAACGTTCAAACATTTGAAACCCTTAACTAGATCGAGAAGAAGATTTTCTAAAAGCTTATCTATTTCAAGTATCATGGTAAAATTGTCGTAAGATTGTATCCGCGTTTGGATACACTTGTAGAAAAAAGTTCACTCTAATAGAAAAACTTTATCGTTTATTGTTCTGCCTGTCATATCATGGGAGTTTGGAAAGAGAAATCTTAGGCAGATGGATCACCACCCAAACTCCATTCTGATTTTGGGAAGAAATATTAAATGAAATATTCTATATGATAGCGCAAGCTACAATAGAAATTTCTGAAATATTCTTTTTTATTAACTGCTTCAGCTCAATTGAAATACCATGAAAAAGTCAGTAGAATATTTTCATACACGAGCATCATATCGGATACATAACCGCTATGTGTGTGTCTAACCGGAAATTCATAGCTTTTGTTCCCCTGGAATCTCCTGCACCTAGAGCGTTCACATTTTGTAGAAACATAGGCGATAGGAAGGGAAGATATGAGGCAAGAGCTTTTTTCGGCTAGACACTCAAAAAGGGCAAACGCGGAGGTGGTGAGCGCCTCATTTGATTCGAGATATAAAAGTAGTACCGACACGGCAAATAAAGCTGTACCCCCTAATGTTGGGTTTTGGTGCATATGAAATTTTCTCAAGTTCACCTCTTTTCTAGATTCCAACTTTGCATAAAATTTGGATGCGTCGATCCTAGCAATACCGGTCAGCAACTTGAACACCATACATGCATCAAAAACCTTCCTACGAGAACATGAACAATGCAATTGTAAACTTTTATTCGGGGACGCCTACCGGCCGCCGACGACACTCGCTCTCCCAACGAGAAGCCGCTTCGCCCCATCGCCAACGTTCCAAGCATTTTTATCTACATATTTCAGATCTTTTTCGTTATTGTTTTTTTTGTTCGTTGACACCATGAATTTCTCACCAAGTCGCGTGTCTTCCGTAAACGGTCAGATTGACAATATGACCCGATCCCCGCCCCCTGTGGGCCGAGTTCAGTTCTGCCACTACCATAAGTGTTTCCATTCTGAAGCCTGTACTCCTACCAAGTTTGAACGCTCTATGTTCATGGAAACAGGGGTAATGAATTTCCGAAGACACTTCCATATAAACACATATCCACATCACACACACAAACACAGACATTAGCGCGTTATATCTCTCATTTATAAAGCAGAAACTTGGTGTGTCGGTTTGTCGGTTTGGGTGTTTGTCAGTATTTCGGTATGTCGGTGTGTCCGTCCGCAAAAGTTTATGATTACGATAAGGGAGTGATATGGAAAAGCCAGCTCTATCCTACAATCCTCTANGGGGGGGGGGGGGGGGAGCATTTCTAACTGATTAATAAGTGTAAGGAATGAGGGCCCGGCGTAAACCGGGCGGCCCAACTGGTATAGTAAGATAGCATGTTCCATCGGAAAGTTATTTTAGTGTAACATTATTCTAGTATACGTCAGACCGTTCGTGATGAAGTAGTATCTCCGAAATGTAATAATAAATAATCAATAATAACGATGAATAATCTTTACAATCCTCCTTATAAAACGCTCGCGTCTGTCTGTCTGTTTGCACTGAAATTCATACCGTGCAAACAGACAGATAGACGGACAGACAGGCGACCGTGGACCTAGAACATTCAAATGGTAAGAGCTCAGGCGGCAGGATGGGAACACCTATGATGGGTGACAGAACCGAACTCCGCCCACAGGGAGCGGAGTTTGCGCGAATCAAATGTTGTAGCGGGAAAATCATAACTCCTGTCCCCGTGAACCTATAGCGTTTAAAATTGGTAAGAGTACAGGAGGAGTGTAGTTTTGGTTCTTCAGTACGTTTCATTCTATAGGACGGGGTGGTAAAATGGGGTAATAATAGGGGTACAAATTGCAGTGAATAATTCGTAATATACGGGTTCTCATGGCCACCCGTATTGGACCTCTCTACATCCGATGTATTCCAACAGCAGCATGCCAAATCGAACTCGACAACGCAATGACGAAGATCAAGCCAGGATAACACGCAGCGGAAGCTATGAATTACCGTCAGGTATGATTCTATTCCACTCCGGTGCCGAAACAGCCCATCGTGGTATAGCGTGTCGCTTATGTGCGTAAGCCTCACTCTATGGGACAGCGGCTGTAAGACAACCGCTGGCCCGCGCAGTGATGTTTACGCCCAAAAGCGACAGGCTTGGAACCCTTTATCATCCGTCGCAAAAGTATAATATTTGTAATTGTCTGTTATGCGCCGGCATCGTCGAAGGATAAAAACGATGAGTATGAAAATTTTCTGAAGGAAGTAGAGCACACCTGTAGGCGAATTACCAAAGGATGTACTCCTCTTTTCTCCGTTGGAAGACATGAATGCAAAAATTGGGGAAGTGGGAAACGAACAAATCATCGGCAAGTACACACCTGACGCGCTGAATGATCGCGGACGCATAAACGCAGAAATGTTAACCAAATTAGGATTACGTGCGTGGAACACGTTCGTTCGTAAAAGGAAAGGACGATAATGGACTTGGAGAGGCCCCAAGTTGTACAATGTTCGATTCAGTCTTTTCCTTAATCAGCCTTTTCCTCAAAATGCACAGGGAGCCTAAGAAAGTATACATTGTTTGTGTAAAACGCTGCAGATGGATGCTGGTTCACCCGAACAGATCCCCCAAAAATTAGCCTAAGAACCCAAACCCTCCTTACGCGCGAATTACTCTCCGAAATAACTCATCTTCGGTTGGTCGCATCGCTCACACCACCATTTGCAAAGCAGCTAGAATCGCCCTTTGTGAGGATATTCCTCGGCGGAAAACCCTGATTTTACAGAGAGCGACTGAAGGAGGCAGAACTATGATAGAAGCGCAGAGGAAATAAGTCCTTAAAATGCTGATATAAAACTCAACAACCGAAGAGTTCTCACACCGGGCAACAGAAATTGCAGTAGTTTCATATTACAACGAACTTCACAGATCAACCATTAACTTTCTTCTGAGCATTCCCTCTTCCTTGGAACCCTGCCCTCCCTTCTGCATTGATGAATCGAAACATGCTCTTTCTCAACTCCGCTTTGGAAGATCTCCCGGCCCAGGTCGCATTTCAGCAGTGAGTTAGCTCTCGCAAAATCCACAACTGCCTCTGTGCTCACACCACTTCTGAACGGTGTTAAACGAGGCGACCCTATCCCAGAAGAATTAACGACTGCTCACGTGAAATTGTTGTTCAAAAAGGGAGATCCTAATAACGTAAACAACTTTCGACCAATTTCGCTGTTATCGGGAGTACTCAAAGCAGTTATGGGAGCCATCTTGAATCGCATAGACAAAAATTAGGAGAGTTAGAGAGACCAAATCAAGTCCGATTCCGATGAAACTACTCCACCCTGAATCACATTCATGTCCTCAAACAAATTGCCGAAAAGAGTGCCGAATACAATCTCCCTGTCTACGTTGCCCTCGTCAATTACAACAAAGGTTTGACAGTCTTGAATAGTCAGCAGTGTGGAGAGCACTTGCAAAAAGAGATGTCCATGCAGAACTAATAGATATGCTACGAAGACTTTACGAATCTTCTTCCACATCCTCTCTTGCTAACTATCGACCAGTTACAGTCACCATGCAAAAAGGCATCAAACAAGGAGACACACTGAGCCCGAAACTCTTCAACGCCTTACAAATGGTACTTGATTCCATTAGGTGGGGGAGAATGCGGACTAAGTATTAGAGGAAGATTGCTTTCCAGTCTTGAATACGCAGACGACATTACATTGCTGGCTTCCTCTCGTTCCCACTAAGCTTTTCAGATGAAATGGCACATAGAATTCGATGCGGTTGGAATGTTTTAAAAAGACTTCAATATACTCTTTACAACAGAACCGTCCCCCTCCCATTAAAAAAGCGAGCATTCGATCCATGCATAACCTCGGCCGTACTCTAAGGAGCGGAAACGTGGTCGTTGAGAAAATCGGATATTAGAAATTTGTGCGTAGAACAAAGGTAGATGGAAAGGAGAATGCGTGGGCTACGAATGCTGGACCGATGGAGCTGTGAAAGGATGAAAGCGCTCACGAAAGTCAATAAATGGACGAACGAGGCTTCAAGGAGAAAAACTTATGTAGGTCAGAAAGATACGTGAAATGGACGAGTGTATGGGCTCGCGTGAATACGACGAGGATTCCATATGACTACGTGGTCCGAAGAAGACGAGGACACCGTGGTATTCAATAGCGCGATGAATTGTCGAAGATCGGAAAAAAATGGTGAAATATGACGAAGGACCAGTTCAATCAGGCCATGATACGGCATTCGAATATGAAATGATTCCGTAATAAAGTGTAAGTGTAAGTGTAATTGTAGTGATAGGGCCCGATTGAAGCTTCTTTATTATGAAGAGATGAAAGTTCACTTCATTCATTACTGTTATATTATGACCGCTACCTAGCAAGGTTTGTGACAGAATGGAGGATCACGATTCCTTTTCGCTTTCATTTTATTCGCTACAGAACTTATCTAACCGCTAATAATCTGGTAGCCTCTACCAGTGATATATCCTTAGAGAAAAAGTTCCATTGATAACATTCACCTACTCTTGCAGTCTGCTTCTCCTCGAGATACAAAGAGTCATTAGGCCTCTTTTTTAGGCGACCTTGCTCATAAAGTTGGTGAGCACACCCAATTGTAAGTAGCCACAGAATGAGCTTTTATACTTTGCTACGGAGTAAAGTTCTGTGAGCCAATCATCAAAGTGGCCTCTATGTCGAGAGTTGCTTTTGACTACATAATCGCACCACTGCATATCAAGATCAATTGATTAACAAATAGGATGCGTGGGTTACCGTGCATAGCTTNGACAGTAAGCCTCGTCCATCCCTTCTCTCATCACC